GTCAGAACAGGTAAGAACTAGCCTGCCTTATCCAGGCAGCACTGCCGACGGCATTTTTAACGGCCCGATCAGGAGTGCTGACCAGAGCCGCCACGACCCAGTGCCTTCCATTCCGTGATCCAGTACTGGGTTGCAACCCACAGTTTGAAAACCACTGATCTAATCCAATCTCAAGTGTCGGAGGATTCAGGAGAAATGACTGGAGGATGACAATTCCATTTCATTGCAACTTTTGAAGTTCTGCTTGTTTTGTTTTCATTTGGCAGTGGAATGAAAGCAAAACCTTTTGAATGTTTTTGTGCAAACAGAATTGTGTTTGCGGAAAGGGGATGGGTGTACATCTGTCTGTCTTTTTCTTTTTTTTTGCCTGGCAGTTAGGGTGCTCGCCCGGGATGTGGGAGACCCAGGATCAAGCCCCTGCTTTGCCTGATTCAGAGCAGCACTTTTCATCCCAGCTCACATCACAGAGCAGGGCCTGGAACTGGATCTCCCAAAGACAATACATCTTCAACAAAACAGAACATTTTGGTGAAGGTGTTCCAACCAGCTCTATGCTTCAGAGCAAGGTACAAGAAACCCTGCAGTAGGAAGGGAGTTACGGGCTAACATGCTCATGGGGACTGTGATGGGGTGTAGTCCTCAGACTGGCTCTGAGAGGGCTCAAGTAGGCCCAATCAACCAACTAGGCTGTAAGGGGTGGGGGAATGAAGGGTGGAAAGAAAACCCTCATTAGGAGGAAGCTCACCTGAGCAGAGGTGGGCTGATCTAGTATAAACCCAGGAAGCTGGCAGCAGCAAGGGTGGCCAGAAAGAAGTTTGTAGTCACCCTCTGATTAGTAGAGAGGGAAGGAGGGAACCTGGGGAAAACGTAGGACCCTGGAGGCCTGGCCCGTCGAGAAGAGTGTACCCTGAAGAGAGCTGGGTGGAGAAGAGAGCCTGTGGCACGCGGGGTAGGAAGCAGCCCAGGGATAAGCAGCAAGGCTGGGGACTGCACAGACGTTGACTGTGTATTGTAGGATCCCTGGGTTGGAACCCAGAGTAGAGGGCAGGCTTGAGTTCCCCTACCTGCCACTGAGGAAGTGGCACTGGCGGGGCAGTGAACTGGAAGACTGCTTGGGTCGCTGTGGGAGTGACGGAGACTTTGATAGACTGTACCCCAGAAGGGGGGAATGGTGAGTGATCTGACAAGAGAGCAGAGTCACAAAGAGGAGGCTGCGTTTCCTGGAGCGAGAAGATGACAGGGGAGACACCACCAAAGGAGGGCGCTGGCCTGGCAGAGCTAATGCCCAGAACTTCCAAGAGGCAGTGCCACCTGCAGTGAATGGACCCCATGACAGGGGCATTTCTTCCTAACTCATATCAGCTGTGGTCAGTTTCTATCCTGAAGACTGAGGTTTTCTATCCCTTCCAAACTTCTGGATGTTTCCTTAATTCTTACTAATATAACTGCATAGTCGTCTTCTTATTATAAATATACACTTTTTTCTTACTCTTGCTAAGATCTTGGCCTCAATGCTTACCTGAGGCTATGAATTCCACAGGCTAATTGTATATTGTATGAAAGTATTTCCTTTATTATTATTTATATTGCTGTAGAGTCTAGAAGCCCCACTCATGGATCAGGATTCCACTGTGCTCACTGTGCAAACACAAAACAAGGAGCGTCCCTGCACCAAAGAGCTTACAATCTAAAGTATAAGACTAGAGGCAACAGATAGATACGGACTTACTGAATGCGGAGTATAAGGCAACAATGAGACAATACCGGTCAGGATGAGCGCCAGTGATCTCAACACACCAGTGACCTAACCATTGTCAAGCTTTTTTGTAAGCATCATAGAAAAGGAAAGTTTTGAGGAGGGATCTGAAGGAGGATAATGAGGTAGATTTGCAGATGTGTGTGTAGAGGATGCCCAGGTTATGGGCCTGAGTTACCAGCAGGATGGTGATGTTGTCCACATTGATTGAGAAAGGACATGGGGGGACACTTGAGGGGGAAAACTGAGAGCTGTGTTTTAGCCATGCTGAACTTGTGCTGACAACTATGGACCCCAACAAGGAAATGCCAGAGAGACAGACTGAGATTTCTGGGTTTCCTTTTAATTGAACATGCCCTTGTTCTTGTGTTAGGAGAAAGTGGGACAGAAAACCCTGGTCTACCTTCTCTCTGCCATTCATTCATATGTGTACCTTTATGATGTTCCTTCTTACTCCTCTCTAAAGTAAATAGTCCGAATCTTTTCAATCTCTTTTGTGATAACTTTTTTGAGATAGGGTGAACAGAACTGAACACAGTATTCAAGGTGATGATACACTATTAGTGTATATAATGGTATTCTAATACAGTCAATATTATATATAGATATATTATTTTTCATCCTATTTATGCATCCTAACATTTTATTTGCAGATTTGAATGCTACTGCACACTGAACAGAGAACTTCATTGAGCTGTGCACAAAACGAAACCCAAGTATCTTCCCACAGGTTACACATTGGAAGGAATAATTTGAATTACTCATTCACCTTACTTTATTCAATGTATTACTTTGCATTTGTCAATAATGAATCTCATCAGCTGTTGTGCTGTCTATTGACCTAGCTTTGTTAGGTCTCGCTGAAGTTCCTCACAGGTTTTTCTGGTCTTCACTGCCCTAAATACTTTTGTATCCTCTGCAAATTTTGCCAGCTCATTGTTCACCCATTTTTCCAGATCATTAATAAATATATTATAAACACTGATCTTAGTAGAGATCCTTGTGACACACCTGTTCATCTCTTCCTATGGTAAAATTAACAATTTATTCATAGTCTTTGCTTTCTGTCTCTTAGCCAATTTCTAATCCAATATTTTGCCTCTCACCCCGTAATTTTGGCCCAGATTAGGAAAAGCCAGTTAAAGCGGATACTTAATGTAAAATACACACTTAAGTCCATTATTTTCCAGCAAAGCAGTTAAACTAAACACAAGCATAGATTTAAGCACATGCCATGCTTCACTAAATCAAGCTGCCTAATAGCCTCTTGAGAAGGACTTTGTCCCAGTGTTTTTGGAAGTGCTGATGAATTACGTCAGCTGGTTCTGTTTTATTCACCTTCACAAGAGGCATATTTAAAGGATTTAATAGATGAATGAAGCAAAATTTTCCTTAGCAGAAGTCACAGGGGTTAGTCTTGATCATGTTCTGATCATCTGGGTGTTTGGTTTTTTTAAAATTGTTTCAATCAGTTTTGCTGGTAATGAAGTAAGGCTCACTAGTCTGTAATTCCCAGGATCACCCTTGGCACCTCTGTTTAAAAAGAGCTACATGTCCTCTTCTCTAATGTCTTGCACCTGAAAATCCCAAAGTGCTATATAAACATTAATTCATTCTCAATGTCCCGGCTTAAAAGATTTTTATTTTAAAGACTTTCTCCCTCATATATACTAAAGACATAAATCTTCACTGAGGATGAAACCAGTATTCTCTACATTACATTATGTCAATTATAATCAAAACCTTGACGATAAATGGCACTTTATTATGCCATATTATGCCAGAATATGGATATTTTGAGTTTCAGCAAGGAGTGGCTAAGACCACAAGATCAGTTACAATGCTTTGAAATATATCTGCCTTCCAAATTCCTCCTCCCTCTGCCCACTCAAAAAAAACCTGTAAAAAGTTAGAGAGAAGCGCAGATTGAATTCTTTGCTCTAATGTCTGGTTCACTTAGTATTTAGAAAAAGAAGAAAAGGGTTACTCATCAGTAACTCTTGTCCTTCAGAACCAACCTAATAATGAACATCTACCCTGAGCTATTAAGACTAAATTACTAAAACAAGTAATCTAGAAAGAACACAGGTTTGGCCTAAAAGCCAAACAAAATACTCCAAGCATAGAGCAATGGATCCTTATGTCCACAGGTAACTGCAGAAAAAAGGGACTGAAGCAATTGAGATGGCTCATCTCTTTCACAGACTTGGACATAAATTTTCAGATCTATGAGGGGTCACTTACAAGACCCTAAACAGCACAGCTTTTCTAGATGGCTTCAAAAACTCAGCAGCACTGTCCTGTCTTGAAAGTGGAAATATCTACAGGCAAGTCTCAAATTACCTGAGGTACTGATTTACAACACCTGCACGGATTTGTATTAATCCCACTTCCATTTTCTTTCGGTTGCTATTTTCCAACAAATATTTCTTGATTTTTAAATTGCTGAATACTTTGAGTTCCTCACGGACCTTTCCATACACTCCCATGTACATGGCTTAAGCCACACAGTACAGGAATTCTGACTCTGATTATTATTGTTATTATTAAGATTATCATAGCACCTAGGTTTCTAGGATTAGATCAGTTCACAATGTAGTTGCCACTGACCTATTCATAATACACACTTATTTGTGGAAAATATATTTTGGGCAGAAAATTTCTTGCACTTAGTCTGAAACCAGAAATGATTTTTTTTCTTGGGTGGGAGAGAAAATTTCAGAACAATCCATTCAGCCAGTTTTGAGTTATCTGAATACTTTTTTAAAAAGTGCCTATTTAAAAATATTTTCCAGACACATTTTCTCACACTGAAAACTCAAAAAGCTTTTTTAATTTGGCATGTACCTAGTCCTGAATGAGGACTGCATGGTTTTCCTTCTTTGAAGGAAAACAGTTTTGAAATAGCATACAATGCTCTCACATTATTGCAGCATTTTTTCCTAGGGCGAAAACGTATTGAGGCTTGGTTCTCTGTATAGTCATAGGAATATCCTTTCCAATTGCATCTTCATTTTCCTTTGACCAATTATGCAAGCCATTTTATTTCTACCATGTTAATAAAGGCAGAATTGTCACAAACGAATGAAAACTGGATATTTTTGCAGTGGTGGCTTATCTCTTTTTCAATATATGACACATCTATGAAATATGACGAGATTACTGCATATTTGCTTGTAGTCAAGTGTACAATCTTGCTCTCATTTTGATACAGCACTGTCATAAATATAAAGGGAAGGGTAAACACCTTTAAAATCCCTCCTGGCCAGAGGAAAAACCCTTTCACCTGTAAAGGGTTAAAAAGCTAGGATAACCTCGCTGGCACCTGACCAAAATGACCAATGAGGAGACAAGATACTTTCAAAAACTGGGGGGAGGGAGAAACAAAGCCTCCCTCTCTGTCTGTGTGATGCTTTTGCCGGGGACAGAACAGGAATGGAGTCTTAGAATTCAGTAAGTAATCTAGCTAGATATGTGTTAGATTCTGATTCCTTTAAATGGCTGAGAAAATAAGCTGTGCTGAATGGAATACAGATTCCTGTTTTTGTGTCTTTTTGTAACTTAAGGTTTTGCCTAGAGGGATTCTCTACGTTTTGAATCTGATTACCCTGTAAGGTATTTACCATCCTGATTTTACAGAGGTGATTCTTTTTACTTTTTCTTCTATTAAAATTCTTCTTTTAAGAATCTGATTGCTTTTTCATTGTTCTTAAGATCCAAAGGTTTGTGTCTGTGGTCACCTATGCAAATTGGTGAGGATTTTTATCAAGCCTTCCCCAGGAAAGGGAGTGTAAGGGTTGGGAGAATTTTGGGGGGAAAGAAGTTTCCAAACGGGCTCTTCCCCAATTATATACTTGTTAGACATTTGGTGGTGGCAGCGATAAAGTCCAAGGGCAAAAGGTAAAATAGTTTGTACCTTGGGGAAGTTTTAACCTAAGCTGGTAAAAGTAAGCTTAGGAGGTTTTCATGCAGGTCCCCACATCTGTACCCTAGAGTTCAGAATGGGGAAGGAACCTTGACAAGCACTGTAACAGATTAAGTGCCCCTCTCTCATCCTCCAAAATCCCCTTTAAAAACCTACTTCATTTGCTGGTTTCAGAGTAGCAGCCGTGTTAGTTTGTATCCGCAAAAAGAAAAGGAGTACATGTGGCACCTTAGAGACTAACAAATTTATTTGAGCATAAGCTTTCGTGAGCTACAGCTCACTTCATCGGATGCATGTAGTAGAAAATACAGTGGGGAGATTTTATATACACAGAGAACATGAAACAATGGGTGTTACCCTACACACTGTAACAAGAGTGATCAGGTAAGGTGAGCTATTACCAGCAGGGGGGGGAGGGAAAAAAACCCACCGCCCTTTGTAGTGATAATCAAGGTGGGCCATTTCCAGCAGTTGACCAGAACATGTGGGGAACCGGGGGAGGGGGAATAAACATGGGGAAATAGTTTTACATTGTGCAATGACCCATCCATGCCCAGCCTTTATTCAAGCCTAAGTTAATTGTGTCCAGTTTGCAAATTAATTCCAATTCAGCAGTCTCACGTTGGAGTCTGGTTTTGAAGTTTTTTTGTTGAAGAATTGTCACTTTTAGGTCTGTAATCGAGTGACCAAAGAGATCGAAGTGTTCTCCAACTGGTTTTTGAATGTTATAATTCTTGACGTCTGATTTGTGTCCATTTATTCTTTTATGCAGAGACTGTCCAGTTTGACCAATGTACATGTACAGAGGGGCATTGCTGGCACATGATGGCATATATCACATTGGTAGATGTGCAGGTGAACGAGCCTCTGATAGGGTGGCTGATGTGATTAGGCCCTACGATGGTGTCCCCTGAATAGATATGGGGACACAGTTGGCAACGGGTTTTGTTGCAAGGATAGGTTCCTGGGTTAGTGGTTTTGTTGTGTGGTTGCTCGTGAGTATTTGCTTCAGGTTGGGGGGCTGTCTGTAAGCAAGGACTGGCCTGTCTCCCAAGATCTGTGAGAGTGATGGGTCATCCTTCAGGATAGGTTGTAGATCCTTGATGATGCGTTGGAGAGGTTTTTTAGTTGTGGGCTGAAGGTGATGGTTAGTGGCGTTCTGTTATTTTCTTTTTTGGGCCTGTCCTGTAGTAGGTAATTTCTGGGTACTCTTCTGGCTCTGTCAATCTGTTTCTTCACTTCAGCACGTGGGTATTGTAGTTGTAAGAACACTTGATAGAGATCTTGTAGGTGTTTGTCTCTGTCTGAGGGGTTGGAGCAAATGCGGTTGTATCATAGAGCTTGGCTGTAGACAATGGATCGTGTGGTGTGGTCAGGGTGAAAGCTGGCGGCATGTAGGTAAGCATAGCGGTCAGTAGGTTTCCGGTACAGGGTGGTGTTTATGTGACCATCGCTTATTAGCACTGTAGTGTCCAGGAAGTGGATCTCTTGTGTGGACTGGTCCAGGCTGAGGTTGATGGTGGGATGGAAATTGTTGAAATCATGGTGGAATTCCTCAAGGGCTTCTTTTCCATGGGTCCAGATGATGAAGATGTCATCAATATAGCGCAAGTAGAGAAGGGGCATTAGGGGACAAGAGCTGAGGAAGCGTTGTTCTAAATCAGCCATAAAAATGTTGGCATACTGTGGGGCCATGCGGGTACCCATAGCAGTGCCGCTGATTTGAAGGTATACATTGTCCCCCAAATGTGAAATAGTTATGGGTGAAGACAAAGTCACAATGTTCAGCCACCAGGTTTGCTGTGACATTATCGGGGATACTGTTTCTGATGGCCTGTAGTCCATCTTTGTGTGGAATGTTGGTGTAGAGGGCTTCTACATCCATAGTGGCTAGGATGGTGTTTTCAGGAAGATCACCGAAGGACTGTAGTTTCCTTAGGAAGTCAGTGGTGTCTCAAAGATAGCTGGGAGTGCTGGTAGCGTAGGGTCTGAGGAGGGAGTCTACATAGCCAGACAATCCTTCTGTCAGGGTGCCAATGCCTGAGATGATGGGGCGTCCAGGATTTCCAGGTTTATGAATCTTGGGTAGCAGATAGAATACCCTTGGTTGGGGTTCTAGGGGTGTGTCTGTGCAGATTTGCTCTCGTGCTTTTTCAAGGAGTTTCTTGAGCAGATGGTGTAGTTTCGTTTGGTAACCCTCTGTGGGATCAGAGGGTAATGGCTTGTAGAAAGTGGTGTTGGAGAGCTGCCTAGCAGCCTCTTGTTCATATTCCAACCTATTCAAGATGACGACAGCACCTCCTACTGTTCCTCACATGTTCTTGTCAACTGCTGGAAATGGCCCACCTTGATTATCGCTACAAAAGGTTGGGTTTTTTTTGTCCCCTCTTCCCCTCCCCCCCGCATCCTGCTGGTAATAGCAGCTCACCTTACTTGATCACTGTATGCATCCGATGAAGTGAGCTGTAGCTCACGAAAGCTCATGCTCAAATAAATTGGTTAGTCTCTAAGGTGCCACAAGTACTCCTTTTCTTTTTGCGAATACAGACTAACACGGCTGTTACTCTGAAACCTGTCATCTTGTTACAGTGTGTATGCTAACACCCATTGTTTCATGCTCTCTGTGTATATAAAATCTCCCCACTGTATTTTCTACTGCATGCATCCAGTGAAGTGAGCTGTAGCTCACGAAAGCTTATGCTCAAATAAATTTGTTAGTCTCTAAGGTGCCACAAGTACTCCTGTTCTTTTTACTTCATTTGCGAACCCCTCTCTACGCTTCCTTCACAGACCATATTTCTGCACATGCTTGAGATTCAATTGTTGTCCTCTGTGTTGTTTCTATCTGAGTTATACTTGTCTTAGTAGTAGCGAACTAAAATAAAAATAAAAATAAAATAAAATACACTTTCTGCTTAAGTTTGCCCATCTATTAAAAGAAGATAATGTTTACCTGCCTCACTGTGTTAGCAAGATTACTTAATATACAGTGCTATAAATGTGTAAAACATTAAGTAATTATTTAATATATAAAATTAAGTGAGAATGTTTTGTTGATGTCCTTCTTATGATTTATTGTCTATTCAAAATAGGCCAAAGGTGAACTGAGGTCACCTTATTACAGAGCATCTTCTGCAATGTGTGAGAGAGATTCTGCTCGCTTTGTTTTCTATTAGATTGCATTCTTAGTTGAAGACTACCTCATAGATTATAAAGCCACAAGGAACCACTGTGATCATCTAGTCTGATCTCTATAACATAGGCCATAGACGTCCCTGAATTAATTATTGCTTCAAGTCTAATAGCTGTTGTTGAACTAAAGCATATCTCTTTGAAAAACAGATTTTAAAATTGATTTAAAAATTGCCACTGATGGAGAATCCACCACTTCCTGTAAATTGTTCCAGTGGTTTATTATCCTCACTGTTAAAAACTTGCACTTTATTTCTAATCTGAATAGGTCTAGGTTCAACTTCTAACCACTGGATCTTTAGAACTTTGTCTGCTAGACTAAAAAGTCCTTTATTATCAATTTTTTGTTCTGCATTTAGATACTTTTAGACTGATCAAGTCACTTCTTAACTGTCATTTTGTTAAATTTAACAGATTGAGCTTTTTGAGTTTAACACTATAAGGCATATTTTTCAATCCCTTAATCATTCTTGCCGTTCTCCTCTGAATCCTCTCCTATTTATCAACATCATTCGTTAATTGCGGACACCAGAACTAGACAATGTACTCCAGGAGTTGTCGCACCAGTGCCAAATACAGAGGTAATATAATCTCCCTACCACTACTCAAGATTCCCCCGTTTGTACATCCAAAGATTGCATTATCTCTTTGGCCACACCATCACACTGAGAGCTCATGTCAGCTGATTATCAAGCATGATGCCAAATCTTTTTCAGAGTCACTGCTTCCCAGGATAGGGTCCCAGTCCTGTTAATACAGCCTACACATCACTTTACATTTAGTCAGATTAAAATGTATATTGCTTTCTTCCACACAGTTTAGCAAGTGATCCACATCATTCCCGTGCCCAGCGTTGTATAATCATGCTATAAAAGACCTATTGTTATGCACACAGACAAAGGACAGGGGTTAATTAATAAAGGAAACAAACAAGAATTTCCTGCTCTTTTCCTCTTTTTTTTTTTTTTAAAAGAACAAAATCTGATATAAGTATGGGAGCTCGGCTCTATGTGGCTTCCCACTCAAACTTCAGATAGTCCTTTAGAGCCTTCACTACTCTATGGCTTTCACCCCTGTAGATTCACCCCTTATTCAAGCCATTCATTTGGATAGGTCCCATGAAATCCCTAGTTCCATCAGGAAACGAGCTGGTTTGATGATCTATCGAGTTTTGTTCAATATCTTCATTAAATATTTAGATAATGGTGTAGAGCAGGGGTTTTCAATCTTTTTCTTTCTGAGGCCCGCCCCAACAAGCTATAAAAACTCCACAGCCCACCTGTGCCACAACAACTGTTTTTCTCCATATAAAAGCCAGGGCCAGCGTTAGGGGGTA